GTCATACCCGTCTCTTCTTAGATTGACGCTTTACAGTTTACTTATCGTTTCTTCGTTCTCAACTTCTGCGTTTCTGTTAGGGTCTCAAACATCCACCCACATTCAACCCACAACCCACCAGCCTTGACCCACACTCCCCGCACAGTCTCACATGATCTCCCGCATGATCCCGCACATCCCCACACTCGCCATCACCTCTCCGCATCCCACATCCCCATATCTCCGCAACCCTTCCCTCCGCACTCCCGCATGCTCCGCAGTCGATCCGCATGCGGAGTTTACGGGCGCTAGGCACTCCGCTCCGCATTTATGCGGAGCGCCGCCGGTACGACACGGGCCGCAACTGAGGGCCGGTGCGGACCGTGCGGAGAAACCTCGTAACCGCCCTCTAGGCGCCCAGACTCTGCATGTGATCCCTTATACTTCTTTATGACTCCCTCCCTTGCTTTGCTATTGTTCTTTAGAATCGACTTACTCATCCCTTTCGTATTCCGCGGTATTCCGCATTTCTTATGACTCAGTTTTATCTCTTGTCCCAGACTTGTCCCAGAGTATATCCAGAGTATCTACAGATATATAAGCTAGCTAGATTTCTGTAGTAGATACTCATCCGGAATCTCGATTCAGACTTATACAGAACTTCTCCTCTGTCCAGTCTTGAGCCTTCAGGCTTGCTAGAGCTTTCATCGCATACTCCGCACTTCCGCACAGTGTTCCTGATTCCGCTCCGCAAGGCTCTCTCTCTCTCTCTCCTCGTCGATGAAGACCGCATTCCGCACACGCTATAGATCGTATGAATGGCTGGTGATGCCTTTTGGGCTGACCAATGCGCCCTCCGCATTCCAGCAATTCATGAACGATATCTTTGCGGACATGGTTGATGTCAGTGTCATCGTCTACCTGGATGATATCCTCATCTATTCCGACAACATGGAGGATCATCGCAAGCACGTCAAGGAAGTCCTCCGCCGCTTGCGGAAGCATGGTCTCTTCGCCTCCGCAAAGAAATGCGAATTTCATGCGGAGCGCGTGGAATACTTGGGTTACATTTTGTCACCTGCAGGCCTCACTATGTCTGCGGACAAGACCAAGACCATCCAGGACTGGCCTGAACCGCGCTCTGTGAAGGATATACAGTCCTTCCTCGGTTTTGCCAACTTTTATCGACGTTTCATCCATAACTACTCCGACATCACTGTTCCGCTTACCCGCCTCACCCGCAAGGACACCCCTTTCGTGTTCGGCAACTCCGCACGTTCCGCATTTGAAACCCTCAAGTCCGCATTCACTTCCGCACCCATCCTGGTGCACTGGCAACCCGACCGACCCCTGATTGTGGAAACTGACGCCTCTGACTACGCCCTTGCCGCCATCCTGTCCCAACAACTCGACTCTGGCGAAATCCACCCCGTCGCATTCCATTCCCGCACTTTCCAAGCTGCGGAGCTCAACTACGACGTCCACGACAAGGAGCTCCTGGCTATCTTCGAGGCCTTCAAGATTTGGAGGCATTACCTCGAGGGATCTGCGGAGCCTGTGAATGTGATGACGGACCACAAGAACTTGGAATATTTCGCCACTTCCAAGGTCCTCACCCGCAGGCAAGCGCGCTGGTCGGAGTACCTCTCCCAGTTCAACCTTGTCATCCGCTTTCGCCCTGGAAAGCTGGGGACGAAGCCCGATGCCCTCACTAGACGTTGGGACGTCTACCTTAAACAGGGAGGTAGTGACTACGCGTCAGTCAATCCCCACAACTTCAGACCCATCTTCACCAACGAGCAGCTTTCCGCATCGCTCCGCGCAACTTCGATCATGCTCCCCGCACTCCGCGCATCGGTCGTAGTTGACGAGGGAGCGCTCCTCAAGGACATCAAGGCCGCTTACTCCACGGACGAAATCGCTTCCAAACACCTCCCCACACCTTCCAACCCTCGCTGGACTCTCTCCGCAGATGGTATACTCCGCCAGGACGGACGCATCTACGTTCCGGACGACTCCGCACTCCGCCTCCGCGTACTTCAGCTCAAACACGACCACCCGCTTGCGGGACACTACGGCAAGAACAAGACAATTGAGCTGGTGCGCCGCGACTACGTCTGGCCGGAACTCCGCACTTTCGTTGCGGACTACGTCCGCTCCTGCACAGTCTGCAAGCGCAACAAGTCTCCGCGTCACAAGCCTTATGGTTTGCTGAAACCCCTGCCTATTCCGCTCCGCCCCTGGGACTCCATTTCGATGGATCTCATCGAACAGCTCCCCGCATCCGGCGGATACACGGATATCTTGGTGGTGGTGGATAGACTGTCCAAACAAGCCATTTTTGTTCCGACAGACTCCCGCCTCACCTCCGCAGAGCTTGCGCGACTGTTTGTGCTCCACGTCTTCTCCAAACATGGTGTTCCTGGCCATGTAACCTCCGACCGCGGCTCCGAATTCGTCTCCCACTTCTTCCGCAGTTTGGGGGAAGCCCTGGACATGAAGCTCCACTTCACATCCGGCTACCACCCAGAAGGAGACGGACAGACAGAGCGGGTCAACCAGACGCTTGAGCAGTATTTGCGGGACCTACTGTAACTACCAGCAGGACAACTGGCATGAACTCCTCCCACTTGCGGAGTTTGCGTACAACAATGCGCCTAGTGCCACAACTGGTGTTTCGCCATTCTGTCGCCAATAAGGGTTATCATCCGAACATCTCTGTTCACCCTGAACGCGATCTTGCGAGTTCCGCAGCCCGCGATTTTGCGGTCGACTTGCAGGAGCTCCACGAACACCTCCGCACTAGTATCGCCAGCGCGCAGGAGTCCGCACGCCGCTATGCGGACCAGAAGCGCTTACCTCCGCCAGACTTCAAGGTGGGCGACCGAGTTTTCGTTAAGGCCCAGTTCTTCCGCACAACCAGACCTACCAAGAAGCTTTCGGAACGATACTTTGGCCCTTACGAGATCATTGCCCAAGTTGGAACGGTTTCCTACACTCTCCGCCTCCCCGACTCTCTCCGCGCTGTTCACCCTGTCTTCCACGTCTCAATGCTCGAACCGCATTACACCTCTCAGATTCCGCATCGCCACGAACCGCCTCCGCCTCCTATCGAGGTGGATGGGGAACTTGAATACGAGATTGCGGAGATCCTCGACTCCAAATTGGATCGTCGCCGCAAACATTGCAAGCTCCTCTACGAAGTGCGGTGGCGCGGATACGAGAATACAGACGAGGAACGCAGCTGGCTCCTTGCCACAGAGCTTGAACACGCCCAAGAGATCGTTGGAGAGTTCCACAAGAGGTACCCAGACAAGCCTGGTCCTCATTGGTGATTCCCCGCATTCCGCAGTTGACTCCGCATTTCTTCTTCACCTTCGTGTCCTTTCTACTTTCCAAGTTCCGACTTTACTTTTCTCCGCTTTCCGCAATTTTCCGCATCCTGTTTCCTCCGCTTCTTTCTCTTCAATTTGTGGTTCCAGCATTGCTCCTTTCCCCTCTAGCTTCCTCCGCTCCTCTATGCCTTACCTGTTTGACCTTTTTTTCTCCTGTTCCGCATTCACCAAGCTTGTTAACAATGACTTTCTTGCCAGAGGCGAAGATAAGAGCCGCCGTTTTGGCCTCGCGGATACGCAGGTGGTGCTGGGGTATTGGGAGCTTGACAGATTGGCGCTCCCGCCTTCTACTAGCTTGACATATTGTCGCTTGTAGAAGGTCTTATAGCGCATACTTGACATATTGTCGAGTACATTTGGTTCGGGTTTAACGCTTTTTTTCCTATTGTAGTTTATGTTTCGGACCTTTTTGTGCCCTTTGTCATACCCGTCTCTTCTTAGATTGCGCTCTACAGTTTTACTTATCGTTTCTTCGTTCTCAACTTCTGCGTTTCTGTTAGGGTCTCAAACATTCCACCCCACATCAACCCACAACCCACCAGCCTTGACCCACACTCCCCGCACAGTCTCACATGATCTCCCGCATGATCCCGCACATCCCCACACTCGCCATCACCTCTCCGCATCCCACATCCCCATATCTCCGCAACCCTTCCCTCCGCACTCCCGCATGCTCCGCAGTCGATCCGCATGCGGAGTTTACGGGCGCTAGGCACTCCGCTCCGCATTTATGCGGAGCGCCGCCGGTACGACACGGGCCGCAACTGAGGGCCGGTGCGGACCGTGCGGAGAAACCTCGTAACCGCCCTCTAGGCGCCCAGACTCTGCATGTGATCCCTTATACTTCTTTATGACTCCCTCCCTTGCTTTGCTATTGTTCTTTAGAATCGACTTACTCATCCCTTTCGTATTCCGCGGTATTCCGCATTTCTTATGACTCAGTTTTATCTCTTGTCCCAGACTTGTCCCAGAGTATATCCAGAGTATCTACAGATATATAAGCTAGCTAGATTTCTGTAGTAGATACTCATCCGGAATCTCGATTCAGACTTATACAGAACTTCTCCTCTGTCCAGTCTTGAGCCTTTCAGGCTTGCTAGAGCTTTCCGCATACTCCGCACTTCCGCACAGTGTTCCTGATTCCGCTCCGCAAGGCTCTCTCCTCTCTCTCCTCGTCTTCCGCCGTAAGGCGCGTCTCTCTCTCCCTCTCCTCCCCTCTCCTTTCGGGTTGGACCATATACCACCAGCGTGGGCACAACGCAATACGTTGAGGCCAAGGTCCCTTCGACTCCGCAGACTCCGCAGTTCCGTAGAGTCTAACAGTTTCCATCAAAGCGCGCAAACCGAGAGATCGCTTGCTCTACGCCAGGGTAGCCAGCAGTTAACGTGCAGCGATGGAACGTACATGGTCTCCTCTAACCCAAACCGATGCGAAGTGATTCCACACCCGGGAACACAGAGATAGGCGTAGGTCTGTTTGAGGAGGCTTTAACCCTATACTATTCTTGCCAAAACTTGCTATTACCTGCATTTAAATCGGGTGACTATTTAACTGTGGTACAGCGTTTGTGGTTCTATTTCAGTTGTATCCTCTACGCGACCCTTTCTTTGTCCAACTTTTTCAACTTGCTGCTTTTAGTTAGTCTGTTCGCCTTTCGCCTCGCCTCTCTATTTACTTTTGCTATTCTATTGCCACGGATCATAGCATTGTCCCGACCCAACGCACACCCGACAAGTCTTCCCGTCAATCGTCCGGCACCTTTGGCGCCTGCTCCTTTTGGAATGGAGGTCCTCCCGCTATATAAAATCCATTTTCTCCTGAAGCCACCCTCAACTGTCTTCCGGTTCCTCACATACCATGACACGCGCATCCGGGTCGCGCCACGGCCCCAGGGGTAAGCCAGGCATGGCTCCGAAGTCCTCACAAAGAGGTACTTCAACACCAGTAAGCGCCACCCTTTCCTCAAACCGTGACCTCTGCTTACACGTCATGTCAACAGGTTAAGGCTTTACGTCGCTCAACCAGGCGGAACAACGCCCGCCAGCAGTCTACTTCTCAAGATGAGCATATGCCGTGAGTCGTTCCATCCACTGTCTCTTCCTGTTGCCAATGTGTGAACGTACAAACTCAGCAGAGAGGAAGGCGACAACGGCAAGGAAGAGCGAAAGAGCACGCAGCCAAGGACGAGGTATAAACGATCCAAGACAAGGAACACTCGTAACAACAGTCGTCGACGCGTTATAGAGTATGGCTCTTTTCTTCTCTTTTCTTTCTGTGCACGCCCCGCCGCTTGACATATTGTCGCGGCGGGAACAACCTTTGCCTTGACACATTGTCGGCAGGTTGGCATAGCTGTGTTCTTGCTTGGGCTTGACCTATGGTCGCCTATGTCCAAGTGTTGCTGAATGGTACTCATGTATATCTCCCACACTAGGAGCGATGAAGAAGATGTGATCGAGGACAATGCTGATGTTATTGGAGAAGAAGACGAAGAAGATAATACTGAGCTGGACGACTTCGATGCTATAGATCTTAGCTCAAGCCCCGGTCGCGAGGAAATTGAAGATGAAGACGAGGACGAGGACGATGGTCGAGACCATGACTACGAGGAAACGCCGTGCGTATGATATATATTTTTAAGGCATTTTGTGAAGGCTAACGTGTAACCATTTTCAGTCGTCCCCTTCCGCGGGCTTCCACCAACAAAGCCCTTCCATCGGTGTCGCAGGTCGTAGCTTCTCGACGGTCAGCCAGGCCTACTCCGTCGGGCCTGGTGCCAGAGGTTCTCCTTGTAGCCCGACAACCAATCCGGTCAGAACCTAGTGTTGAAGCCATGGGGTCAGACATCACGTCCCCGCATCCCCTCAGTGTTGCGTTTGCATCGTCCCCAGCTGCTTCAAGTACGCCGTCAGCCACGTCATCAACTATTCAGCAAATGGCCCGCCTGGTTTCTACTGGCCGAGGTAGAGGAGGTCTCGGCGCTCGTCCAAATCCTGCGCCCACAGTCTTTAACTCCTCCTTGGAACCTGCCACTCCGAAGATAGGACGTCGTTTCACAATCAGATCCAACCTTCCACAAAATATTGGTCACCCAGAGTATGTTGTCTTTCTTTATTCTTTATTCATGTGACTGACCATATAATTCAGGGAGGATAGCCCGCCTTCACATAAAACCCCTGTCCCCACCCCCTCAGCCCCACTCAAGCCTCGAGTGACTCGCACCGTCGGAGGCATCACACTCGACTTGGAGAAGGACATGGGGTACAGTGACCGTACCATCCAGTTCCTACTTGACAGGCAGAAGCCTGTCGACTGGATTGGTGCTACTCAGTCTCCGCCCGAGGGTGAGGTTCGTCCCCAGCGTGCACCTTCGTCTGATGATCCTTCTCCTACTGGGTTGGCCTACATTACTTCACCGGTGTGGATTGCGCTGTTGGATGATCGCAATGCAGCTGTGATACACGTGTGGTATGGACGCTTGTCTCAGACGCGCCCGCTCCAAGAATCCATCTACCATCCCGACTTGCGAATCTACAACAAGATCATGATGCGTTGGGAATTGTTCCCCGAAGGCTACATGGCGCCCCGCCCCACCATACTTCTGCCCCAGTCGTATACTGCACGATTGTTAGCCCGGTTCCAGACAAATGTTGTTGGCGAAGATCAATTGATTGTCCAGTCACAAGAGGAAGAAATTGTCCAAGATATGCCGAAGAAGAGAAAGAGGTTGGACATTGGCGCATCAACTTTGGCTGCGTCGACCGGAGGTGAACTCAGTACCGAAGGAGCTACAGCAAAGAAACAGAAGAGGCCGGAAGACAAGGGGAAGGCTAAGGCGGCAGGGCACTCAGTAAGGTGAGGACATGGTACATGTCCTACCTTGGCGATCCACAACCCCATCCACCATGTGATACCTCGCCTAGCTTTGCCCTAAAGAAGGCACAAGAACCATATCCCAGCTGGACCCTTCCAACAGCACAGCTCCCGTGTCATAGCTGTGTTCTGCGGGACAGGCGGCTGGCCCTCGGGGGTCCTGCGAGTCTTGATGGGGCATGTCCCAGCTGCCTCCCGCTGTTTGAACATAACACATGTCCCAGCTGGATCTCCCAAATCCACAGCATCCATGTCACAGCTGTGTCCTCACGGTCAGGAGGCTGCCCCGGGGGCCTGTTGCCAATCTCAATACAGCATGTTCGAGCTGCCTCTGGCCGTTTGAACATGACCCATGTCCCAGCTGGATCTCCCAAATCCACAGCATCCATGTCACAGCTGTGTCCTCACGGTCAGGAGGCTGCCCCGGGGGCCTGTTGCCAATCTCAATACAGCATGTTCGAGCTGCCTCTGGCCGTTTGAACATGACCCATGTCCCAGCTGGATCTCCCTACTCCATAGCATTGGTGTTACAGCTCCTCTTCCAACTTCATGCCCTAGGGTCAATACTGGCTCCCATTAACCACAAATAATGATCAGGACATTGAAGTAACCTATACACAGGATGCTCAGCCTAAATGGTTAGTAGTCCATACCTCTACAGTTGGTCTAACGAAGTTGTCACCTAAATCGCTCCACAGACAGTGACCCACACGAAGTTTGCACCGGTGTCCGCAGGTGTGTAAACCCCGCACAGTCGGTAGTCTACTGTCCGCACTCGGTCCGCACCGGTGTCCGCAGGTGTATAAACCCCGCAGTCCGTAGTCTACTGTCCGCACTACCGGTGTCCGCAGGTGTGTAAACCCCGCAGTCCGTAGTCTACTGTCCGCACTTGGTCCGCACCGGTGTCCGCAGTTGTGGGGACTTATGGACCGGTCCAAGTGCGGACAGTAATCGTGGACCACGGACCTGCGGCCGGTTGTTTGACGTTGCTTGTCAAACCTGACCCCGAACCAAGAACAAGTCCGTGTCGGCAGTTCAAGTGCTCATATGACACAAGTGCTCATACGACATATTATTTTGCTTTATTCCGCGGCGCTGTAGTCAAGTGGTGACTTCGTTTCCTGACAAAGGAGACGTTGGGGGTTCGATTCCTCTGCAGCGACAAGCTATGGAGATAATTTGGTGCACGGGCCAATCCCCATGCATCAAATTATCTCCATAGGTTTCATCTACATTTTTTCTTTCGCTTTTCCGTTGATCAATGGCTGGTTTTGTCAAAACTTTTAACCCCGTCGTCCATCACCTATAAACTGCGCAACCATAACATCCGGACTTTAACTCTCAGCTTCCATAATCTCCCTCATGACTCCTCTTGAAGCACAAGTAGCCGATAGCATCTTGGCCATCCTCCAATTAGGCCTTGAGATTCAAGGTGTGTATTTTCCCCAAAATGTCTTATGCCAGGATTGAAATGTTTGTTTTATTTCCGCCAGAACAACATCGCCTTTATTTGATGTGCAGGCACAGTGCAATGCTCTTCCAGCGACTCGAGGCTGAGCAGAAACAAAACGTGGAGAACCTGAGACAAGAAGCCGCGCGCTTGCAGGGGGAGGTTGGGAATGGGGTTCCTGTTTGCCTGGAGGCTGCAGATCTTGTTGGAGACGACCGTGATATGCTTGGGATGCAGGGGATAGCGCACGCGCAAGAGGCCCGCAAGGCAACACTCAAACAACTAACCCAAACCCTCCTGGAGACCGCTGCCCGTCTCAAGAAGGAAGTGGAAAGGGAACACGAGACAGAAGGGGACGGATATGCTGTGGATCGACCTATTGAACTGGACAACGAGGGCAGGCAAACTCGAGGTGGAAGGATGGTTGATGAGCCAATCATTATTGAATAAGCGCTATACGTTACTTGCAATTGAATTCACTCGCCACTATTCACAAATGCATTGTCTATATCTTGTTGTCTATGTACCTTCATCAGGTACCCATTTAAATGTCCGCACCGGAACATCCGCACCCTCGCAGGTGGGTGGAGTAATGCGAGTATCTGTAAGCTCGAACGTCCTCACCGGAACGTCCGCACCTCACAGGTGCGAGGACTTGCCCAAGTATCCGCAGGCTCGTACGTCCTCACCCTCTCAGGTCCCGCAGGTAAGAGGTATGCGCGGGTATGCGTTCGAATGTCCGCACCTCGAAGGTCAAGGTCCGCTGCTGGCTCGAACGTCCGCAGGCACAAACACCATCCTCACGTGCGAGTATCCGTAAGCTTGAAGGTCCGCATCCTCACGGGTCAAAGTCCGCACGCGAACCTCCGCGTTTGAATGTCCGCACCTCGAGCACCTCGCCGATGTGAGGACTTGCCCAAGTATCCGCAGGCTCGTACGTCCTCACCCTCTCAGGTCCCGCAGGTAAGAGGTATGCGCGGGTATGCGTTCGAATGTCCGCACCTCAAAGGTCAAGGTCCGCTGCTGGCTCGAACGTCCGCAGGCACAAACACCATCCTCACGTGCGAGTATCCGTAAGCTTGAAGGTCCGCATCCTCACGGGTCAAAGTCCGCACGCGAACCTCCGCGTTTGAATGTCCGCACCTCGAAGGTCAAGGTCCGCATCCGAACGTCCGCACCTCGCGCGTAGGAGGTATCCGCACGAAGGTCCGCACCCAGGTCAGATTCTCAGGTTCACAAGTCCGCACCAACCGTCCGCACACAAACAGGCCTCATACTCAGTGAACGGGTTTCAGCCGGGTGGACGAAAACATAACACATGCATTGCAAAGGCAAGTACTACAGAGTGTGGCTTTGCTGGGCAGAGGCAAGCTGGACCACCTGGATTCGATCACACAGGTCGTCCTTCAGTTCCACCTCCCCAATTTCGTGACAGAGCTCCTTTACTTTGGCAATCAAATGAACGCCACCTTGAAATGCCTCAGCGGCAAACGACTTTGTGGTTTTCCGGAGGATCGCTTTTTGAGCCCACTCAATGTCGAGAAACGGTTGCGCGCGGTTGTGGTGTCTGGCCTGCCTGTCGCAAGTCTCCATCAAGTCAATGACCCCACACCAAACTTGGGCGATACCTGCAGGCGAGTATGTCAGAAACCCGTAGCACCATGCCTTCCAGGGAACTTACGATGGAGAAGCGTCAAGGTCGCACATAGCGCATAGCCGCAGACTTCGAACAGCTCCATGGTCTCCTTGTCACGTGCGTCTACAACCACTTTAGTCCACAGCACCTTCCACAGGCAGACTACTCACTGAGATGCTTGGAGGCCAGCTCGGGAACTCTCTCGGCATACTCCACCGCCCGGGGAAGCTCCTTTTTCAAAAGGATTTGGAGAAACCGGACTTGAGAAACATCCACCTCATGGCCGTCGTCGAGCACGATTACACCGCTATCCTGAACCCCCGAGAGCTCACGAATTTTTATGCGCAAAGCTGCAAATAGGTGAGAAAATCGGTAGAACAATAGAATAAGAGACATACTTGTAATCAACTCCAATTGAAGTTCCACTTGCGCTACTTGGTCTCTGATACAAATGCACATGATGGAGGGGAAGCAAGGAACGAAGATGGAACACAAGAGGGGAAGGATATTTATTGCGAGGCTTAATCTCCTATCTCAATGGGGAAATAAAATGTACTTATGCGCGGTTTGGGCTATCGAGCTCCTCCTTTTCCAACAGATTGCGGATGCGGACATGCCATCATAGGATCCGCGGGGACTGGCAAATCAGCGGACCCGAGTCAATCCGCAGGCACGGATCAGTATAACGGAACGGACCTCTCAATTCTGATCACGAAGAGGCGAGATAACGAAACTCGATTGCGGAGACGGCGCGCGACAAACCAATACACTACAAGAACTCCATCCTCATCTCCATCTGCCAAATAACCGCTGACCCTAGCTCAATGGATTCGCGGAGCAGGTCAAGATCTGCAATCAACTGCGAGAACTCCTCGTCAAGGTTTGCGAAAGAGGGGGGTATCTGGTCCAGCTCGCTCAATCCCTCGTCCACCGAAATTTTGAAGTGAGCAATTCCTTCGACTACTCGCCGATATCGAGAACCAAATCTACTGTGGACTACAGACGTGGTCAAGGGTGCGGTCTTTGAGCAGGTGGGATATCCATACCTCGTCTGAGGCGTGCTAGCCTGTCCTTGATCTCTTTTTTCACTGCGCGTCGTCGAATTGTTCCCCTCATCTGGATTGTGCAGGTGGTTGTCATTATAATTCCACAGAAAATTAACGTGTTAGGCTGACCTTGTAGTGTTTCGTGGTGGTACAGTGCTAGGCGGGTCACAGATGACTCGAGACCTTTATAGTAGAAAACGAGGAAGCCGACCACGTGATCCTAGCGATCTCCCATGAAATTTCAGGCCCATGTTTTTTAACCCAGTTGTCACTGTCTTTCAGCTAACGACCCCTTTCACAAATATATCCTCCAGCCAAGATGCGAGCCTTTCGGGAACCCCTCCCTCCTGGCGCAAGTCTAGTGCAACGCCTAGGCCATCACGCCCAAGCTCGAATGCGACAGAGGTTCTCTTCAGGCACCCCTGTACCGTCTCAACCATCTCTGCCTCTCCCTCTCCAGGTGGAATGCGAGAATATCGCCGACACAGCTTTCATTGCCCTTCAGAATGAAGGTGAGCATCGCCACACGGGTCCATTGTCTGACACTCAACGCTCATTTTTTATATCTATAGAAACGCTTGACTGGTCCTTAACAGACTGGTACAGCAAGAATCGCAAGCGCTCTGCGGTCGCCGACGAGAGTTCAATAAATGCGATGGAATCCGCGTTCCCACCGTCCTCTAGGGTGAATCGTCTGGGTAAACCGATCCTCAGGCAAACACCTTGTGTGGTCAAGGATCGCAATGGACGAATTCTGACATGGTATCTTCCCAACGTCATCCTCCCTGAACGACAAGTGAGTGTCGACTCGTAACCTAGCAAACTCCACTCTCCCTCACATGTGATCCAGAAGGAAATCGAAGACGCCATTCGGTGGCACTCCTCTACTCATGAATCATCTCCCTTCCTCGTGAGGGACAATGGCAACTATCGCGACCACGCCTCACTTTTCACCCAGGGGGAGGACTTGATGTTCAAGCCAGGCGTAGTCACTTACGCCTCCGCGTGGCCGATGCAGGGCCACCCGGTATGTGTTACATCTCCTCACCCTTTCCAACCTATTAAAATCAGCCCGCCCCATTGCAGGATACCTTGGCCCCTTCTGCCAACCTCAAAAACCGGCGGCAGGGTAGCCTTGAGTTCATCGAGCGGATCTCTGAGAGTGTTGCTGTCCTCGGGGCGATTCTGGCAGTCATACATCCCGCTCTTTTTGAAATGGGCTTGGAGATGCTGGCTGGGCTCAATTCGGGCATCATCCCTGCCGGGGACCTTGAACATCTCAGAACACTCCTCAAGTACTGGAGCTCGCCATTCACCGCCTTCTCCCTCATCAACAACCGGCGGACTGATCTCCACCGCGACGTCTGTAGTCCAGTATATGTCTACGACTTGCTCTACACCGGCGGTAATTATGTCAATGGTCGAATCGAGATTCGAGGTATCGGTATTAGGTGTCGCTACGACCCAGGTACTGTTGTAGCGACATTGGCATCGTGCTTCCCTCATGGCGTTCCTCCCGTGGACGGCGAGCGCGTTTGCATCGCCCATTTCTTCCGTGAACAAGCTCTGGAACATCTCCCCTTTTATCAACCCCCAGTATTGCCTACACACCTCACGTTGAACCATTTTTATAACCACAATCATTAGACATGCGTAAGGCGTCGCGTAACTAGTATTAATCATATGTTTTATTCAGTTGCTCCAGCTCGGACTCCCAGTGCTTGCTCCACCTTTCAAGGACACAAGTGACCCGTTTGATTTGCTCCTTCAATCGTGATCGCTCCTCGTCCGCGGCCTTCTTGAGGGACACCACTGTCCTCAGCTGTCCCAAAATTTGCCGACGCCGCGCCTCAAGATCTGCCAGAGAAAGAGTGGAAAGGCGGACCCTCGCTGTGCGGAGTGCAAGCCATTCTTGATATACCTCCTCCAGCGGTCTGTCGGTCCTAAACTCAAATACTCGGGTGTCGATCCAAGTCGGTCGATGCCTCCTATCCGCGACTTCGAGCTGGTCGGAGGGTATTTTTCCCGCAAACAGCCCGCCCAGTATAGCGCGTTTTTCCATCCAGCGGAACACCTTGGTGAATGACTCGAGATTGAGGTCCCACCTAATCTCCTCTGCGGACAAAACCACGCCCAGAACCCACATGGCTGCCTGCTGAACACACGATTGAGTCGCAAATGCGTTGGAGTCATGAGGAGAGCCACCTACAAACTCGATACTCAATCGCACGACATATTCAATACGGAGGTCATGACCCATGGTCGTAGAGGGTGCTTCCTGGATCGCGATGTAGATTCTGTCGGCAATATAAAAAAAGAAGTCCTTCCATTCTTCCTGATCAGTCGGCTTAGTGCAGTGTGCAACCGTCTGAAGGTCCAGCCCACTCAGTTCTGCAGCGGAATAATAGGTCATTTATTTGCCTCCTAGCCAGAGGTAAAGCGCTAAATACCAGGTGCGTCTGCGACATCTTCCCCCTGTTCTTGCTTCAAAATTCGGAGGGTTGCCCTCACCCTCCGAGCGCCGTCTCGATTGGCCTTCAATTCCTCGTCGACGATCTCCAATGACGCCCTCAGCAAAGACCGAGCTTCGCGCAGAGCATCCAGCGTCAACTCGGAGAGGACAACAGTTGCGGGTGGCGGAGATGGCAAGGTTCTCGTGAGCGTCGCAGATTGCCTCCTCCAAATTGCCACCAATTCGTCGAAGCTGAACTTCATCCGGTCGTTTCCAGGCATCCACCACGCCTCGATGTATTGGTTGAGGACGCGATCCCTCTCCCCTTCTCCATCCTGAACCTTGATCTCGATTAGGAGTGGATCGACTTCGCCTTCGTTGTCGTAGAACACCTGGAACAGGTCACGGAAACATTTGGGCGCTACTATGGAATGAGGATACTTGATGGTCGCAGTCGCCAGGCAGAACGCTGTCATAGACTAGAAACCAATGGGTTAATTCCAATTGAGTTTGAGGATTATGGCTCACGATTTCATGGAACAGTGAAGAAAGGAACGTTGCCCTCTCCTCCTTTGAGATCACCGCGTATTGAACGACATAGAAGACTCCCGCAGCCCGGTGACGACTTGATAAATAGTCGATAAGCAACTGCCAGCCGACGTTCGTGAGGGTAAGCAACGCTTGAGAACTGCCAGGGAGAGGCCAGCTTGCCATGATGTAGAATTGAGTCAACCCAAGTAAAATTGAAACTGGTTAGATACATATTGCATCAATTGTCACCGTCGCCGCGCAGCTGGCGGATCAGGTCCTCCCCCGCAGCCCGCGTTTTGCGGAACAACTCATCCCCGTCCGCACGCAGGCGCCACCATACCCCCGCCTGCTGTTCTGCGTACGCCCGATACCCAGGTTTATCTGGGCCCAATGTTGCCCAACTGCGGACAGTGTCTTCTTTGTATTTGAAGAAATTACAAATCCACGTCATTTCCTCCTTCAGGAGGACGACTTCTTCCCTCCAGCGCTCCATTCGACATTTCGCGCGCAGCCAATTGATACGATACACTGACTCCAGGGTCAATATAACGCCCACACGATTCGGCAGAACCACTCACATTCCTCGAGGTACGGGGCCTTCTGCGAGTCGCCGCTTACGTCCAGGTTCCAGATCCAAGAGAAGACTGTCTTCGATTGACCAGGGGCGTTTGGGTGGTATATGGCTGTTATGGCCTTCGTATGTTCGGGCTTGAGGTCCTTATATTTCTCAAGGAGACCGTGACTAGCGTTAAGCCTTCGTAGTGCCCACCTCGCGTGGTTATAAAGTCGGATCTGATGTCGCATACTTTGGTTCACAGCCTTCACAGCTGAGTATCCCCTGGTCTTCTCCTTTTTCCCCTCCGCGAGTCTGATGTTGGAACGATAGAGGAAGGACTTGTGTCCTATGTCGGTTCGAATGGCTTCAAGGGCGTCGTTTGCCTGGGCTACGCGAAGTTTAATCTCCTTAGTTGCAGCAGACTTCATGGATTCTGGAAGGCGCGCAAAGGAGGACGGTAGCGGAATCTCCATGTCCTCTGGATCTCGATCGCCCTCGAGGAACGGATTGTCGCAATCGACCTCCATGGCGAAGTCCTCCTCGGACCCCTCAATCACCGGGTTAGTTTCCGGCGGATTAACCCAGGCATATTCCTCCATGTCCACCTGCGGGAACAGCGAGGCTCCCGTTTCAAGGAAGTGCGTTATTTCGTTCCGCAGGTGCTCTTGCTTGCGGACCAATTCCAAATTCTGGTTATCAGTCCACAGGTCGGGGCGCGGCAGTCCTCGACGATAAGCTTTCACTGCAAGTCTTAATATTGCATTAGCATTAGAACCTCCCCAGTACATCAAGACACTCACTGAGCTTCCTGTATCTTGAAACCCAATGTAATCCAAGACGTCACCCCAATTTGCTGGTCACTCCGTTGTTCCAGCAACATGAGATCGTGCTGGACCTTGGCTCGTGTAGGTGCTTTAAACAGGGTCAGTTCAAAACCGTTCAAAAGGAGGGTGTGTGCCACATACGCTTTTGTATGGAGACATTCAGGATGTCCATTGCCGATACATCTCCCTCTTGGGCTCGTTTTTCTAGCGCATTGGAGAGTTGTTCTTCCCATATGATACGTTGGGATTCTGAAGCCGTGGCGTCCAAAAGGCTGAACGCTTCTTCGGCCTCGTGCAGTTCCTTCAAGGCCTTGGGGTAAGCGACACTCAAGTTGCGACCTTGGCCGCCCGGTGGTATGCTAGTCAGCAGAGTGTCATTCGAGCAGACGAGCTTGACATACCCAAAGAGATCATCTTTTTCCAATTGCTATCCCCGATGTGTGCGTCCAGAACTTCGGTTCGATGTGCAAGGGACATCGTCTGTGTAGCCCTTGCAGATTCGTTGAGGGTGGACCAGAGTGATTCCAAGATCTCTCCCGACGTCTGACCGATTCCATCTATGAACGAAGGGGAATAACGCGAATAGCAGCCTTCTTGGTGTCCAAAGACATGAAACTTGCCAATCCCAAATACAATTGGCAGATCCTCGGACAGGGACAGGGTATCGCTTGTCGCAAAACGATCCCTCAAATGAACACTATACTGACAGTTGATGTCGTACAGCAAGTTCAGTCTGGGTGCGTTCTCTGCTCTGGTGCTGCGGACAGCACCCATAAGTCCGTAATCCATATTCACCTGCCTGGAAATCTGGGTTAGTCACGGTGTTGAACCTGACATTTACGGTGACCTCCCACCTTTCGCCTTTTTGAAATCCAACCACGCTACTAGGAGCGAAGGCACCATGTCGAGAACACGCAAGGGCCCCAACACCAGTAACATCACAACCTTTATGTACTTTCGAACGATCTTCAACAGCACGGTGTTCGTGACATGTGGATACCTGTAGCTCACCAGTTCACAATACTTGATCATTCGGAAAACGTACTGCTCACCTGCAAAGGTTCCGTGGTTTTCTTTAGGTGCTCATCGTATTTGGATGTCTCAACGAGGTATCCTTCGCCGTTTCGCAACCACACATCGTCTTCTCCTTTCTGTTTACGATGAACGAGGGTGAAGTTCCCGTCCGCAACAAGTGTCATGGAGAACCGCCATTGGTCGCCTTGTGACCTCCAGTCTGCGGGTAGATTTATCCCATCCTGAGGACAGGCTGCGCAGAAGAGCGCCAACTCTCCTTCCTTTGGCTGCCAGCCTGTGTGGCCAAATCCGAATCGCTTGAGGTCTTTCAGAATGCGCCATTCTCTGCCACAACGGAGGAGCTCTCGGTACCGATCCTGCAGAAGACGAACAATGGGGTTCAAGATTCCGGACAAACCAGGATGGTAGGTTGAACTTACAGGGACCTTTCTGGGGAATACCTCGTTGGTTAGACGGCGAAGTTTTGAGTAAAAGTGCAACGCTGACGTGTAGCACTCGAGGTTCTGTAAAAGATATTCATCCAAGACTGTAAACGTGAATGCGGTCCGGACATCTTTGTGCGACGCAGGGTAGAGATCGTGACGGAGAAGCTGTAGCTCGTCTGGTGGTGCGTCTGCACAGGTGCAGAAATGAACGGGGATGTGGTGAACTCCATTGGAATGGACAACCACCAGAAGGTCGAATTCCTCCCAAGTGCGCCAATCTGGTTTAGCTCCGTACGAGGGGTCGTTGGGGTCAGGGATTGGAACCCAAGGCGTTGTGGAACGAAGCGAGCATGACCGAGCTTTACATAAATCGATGACAAGGCCGGTCCGCCATAGCCAAGAAGTTGCGAAATGGGTCTCGTTCCACACTTCGACGCGATGGAATGGGGTGTGAGCGTGTTCCACTCTACAGCAGGTGGTGCAGAGTACTGGCTTTGCAAAGCAGTCACGACACCTCCAGACAATGTCGCATGCCTGTCTACATTTCGAGCATCCTGAACCAACATCAGAGGCTGCTCTTGAAATGATCTCCTCCAAGTATTCCTTTTGCTTGTTTTCCTTCCAGTTACGAAGGTAATCGTTGGGTCTCTACGGTAGGTGTTCAGTTCGTAATTCCGGTTCGGTTATCCGACTGCTTACATTTTGGTTCGAGTTACCCATTTCCAAATCAAAAGGAACAAACAGGTTCGCATCCAAGAAAGAACCGGCGCCAATCTGAAGAGTTCTTCCATCGGCCAAATCCCCAGATTGTAGGAGCTGCTCAATGCGCTTCGTCCTTGAACTGTTTTTCGACCTGTCGGAAAGGTTTCTGTCTGCCCGCGGCGTCTTCAGTTGGGCAGGGACCAGTGTCACCTTTGCCTTCGGGGTCGAGCGAGACGGCTTTCGTATCTTCACTCGATAAGTGTCGACTCTATCTGCAGGTTCACAGTCCAGGATTTTTCCGAGGCTTCTACGCATGGCTGCTGAAGGGAAGGGGGAAGGAGATTGTACTCCAAGATGCAGAACAGTTGATCTTTTTACCTGTTTCCTGCCCCTCACCCTACCCAGCCGTTGATCCTGTCCCTGAAGGACTTACTTCTATCCCCTCATGTCCTCCATCCTATGATCCGACATGCCTTCCCTTTATAAAGGCGCCCTGCCCTCATGTCCCGGCTCTGCCTTTCTTGATCTCCCACTTGTTCAATCCCCTACCTACCTGTCTACTCTACTCTTGTGAAAATGGGTTCCCCCACAGCCTCTGACCACGAACAGTCCGCTGGGTCCGCTGGGTCCGCTGGGTCCGCCGTGCAACTGACCTCTATAAATGGCTGGACGTTCACTCCGATGGAACAAGCATACATGCGGGAAAAGTTAGAGGGGTACAACACCTCGAGCGGCAAACAGCGGAGGAGGTTTTTGAGGTCCACCACTCAGTACATATGCCAAGAAAATGAAAAGCGGACTGGTAACGACCTTACTGTAGCCCAGAAGTCCGCTATAGGAAAGGTCCGCATTTTCACCTCTACGAGAATGCACAATCTGACCGTGTTTTAGGCGTTGAGGGCCTGGTTCAAGGCCCATGGAAACGCTCGCAGGACAGAGAAGAACCTGTATGGCACGAAGTGGTATGGGAGGCGAGTGTATATGAGAATCCACAAGGCCAAAGTGCAAGCCTTGGCCGACGAGATTGTGAAGGCAGACGGAGATGTGGACTTGGAAGAGTTCCTCGACAACTGGGACTCTGATGAAGCACCCGACAGCAAGGATGGCGGAGGAGAGGGCGGGAAGACTGGAAGGAACGCAAAAACCAAGGGCAAGACTGGCGACGATAGCGATTGGTTCTTCAACCACTACCAACAGGCAGGCACCCTCCTCATCAGCACTTTGACCGAGAAGCAGTTCGCTAAATACGAAGCTTTGGCGGACAAATGGAACTCAGAGGGTCCGCCTCCTGATGTTCAAGCAAGGTTCGTAGTGCCGAATCCTTTACTGGAGATGATGAGACTCACCTTTGATAGGATGGCGGACAAGCACGCTGCAAAGAAGGCTTACAATTATTTGAAACATGCCAGGAAGGATTACAACTGTCTTTCCTATCTGTTGTTGGGTTGGATGGGGAAGGACGGGAAGCCAAAGGCAGTGGAGTTGGACGTCAACGACGAACTTGGATGGCCCAAGAACTTTGGAGACGACAACGCTAAGCTTCTCCACACTGTTTTTAAACAGTTCCGCAGCTATGTCTACGAGGCCTTCGAGACCGGCGAGGACAGGATGGAGGACTCGGGTAAGAAGAAGGGCCATCGTAAATCACTCATGAGGATGGAGAGGAACGCATTTGGAGAACCTCTCCTCCCAGATCCGAGAACCCGCCCAGCCAGAGAGCCGCGAGGGGACTGGTATTGCCAAGCCATCCGCACCTTTTTCATCTACCACTACGGTATGTACCCCTCATGTCCTGAAGGACATTTTCTGACCAGTTATGGCGATTGTCCTCTTAGCGCTTGCGTCGAAGGCCAAAGTAACCGACGATAGTTGGCCCCGCTTTCCTTGGACTCGAATTTTGAAGGAGCCCAGGCGATTCTTCTCGGAGGCACACCTTCCCGGCGGCATCCTTGAGACCTTAAAGGAGCCATCCAGCATGACCGTTCCCGAGAGGGTGACCGTCTTCAACCATCTGTATAGTCTTCAAGAACCTGTTCGCACGGAAATGAAGGCATACGTGGATCGGTGGGGTAATGTCGCGAAGAGCGAACACTAAACCAAACCAAACCTTAAAACCAGAGCGGAAGTGTCAGAGAGCTGAGAGCGACGAGAAAGATGAGAGCGATGAGCGACGAGTTAGACCAGAAAGCTATGTCGATGTATTGACGAAGAGGTCAAGCTGAGGAAATACAGAGCAGACTACCTAGCTTATATACCTATTCTACAGTCTACATAGCCGCGATGAGTCAAAATGACAAACAAATGGCGAAACGTCGAAGAACAATAAGAAAGGTCATGAGGCTGCGCGAAGGCTGCGCGAAGAACAAGGATGAAACAATAATGGAACAAGAGAGTGTCAGAATGAGTCAAGAGGCAGTGCGTAACAATAAGAACAATGGAAGTGGGGCGAAGGGTAATACGAGGCAGTGTTCCATGAGTGAAAGAGTCCATAGAGGGAATAAAGGAGCGAAGGAATAGGGGCAAGCGAAACGATAAGATGCGAGACAGATCAGATAAGATAAAGTGAAAAAATAGGGGCTGTACCGGCTGTTCACGACATTACCCCCCTTCTAAGCCTCATCGTCCTCGATGACCAACGGTAGGCGGCGTCCCAGTTCCCAGTCAAAGTCGGTAGGTGGGGCGTCGGTGAAATTCTCGAGTGGGCGCCATGGGAGAGAGCTGAAGATGGTAGCGGAAATTCGGCGTGGTGCAGAGGGGTGTCGCTGGTGGAACTCCTTCACGATCTCGGGCGCGTGCTCCAAGTTCTCCTCCGGTTCCCAAGTGTCGTCCGTCGACCCATAACCCTTCCAACTGACACAAATACTCCAGTTTGCGATTCTTTCCTCGACCTCTCCAACGGCTGTCCAGGATGTCGTGAACCTCGTATTCAAGCTCCCCCTCCAGTTCGACAGGCTCAGGCGGGGGTGGCAAAATGCCATTGACATCATTGCCTTTCCAGGGGGAGAGCTTGTCGACGTGGAACACAGGATGAATGCGGGGAGAGGGACGGGGGAAGTTCGAGGCGGTAGTCGAGGTCGCCGATGCGTTCGGTAATCTTGTACGGGCCGAGTTGGGAGGTCGCCGAGTTTGCGGACGACGGAACCTTGATCTGGATGTCCTTCGCGTTAAGCCAAACGTAGTCGCCAACCTTGAATTGATGAGCCGTTCGCTTGCCGGACTCGTACGCATCCTTCTGCTGGGCCTTCTCGAGACGTAAGGCAGCTTCCACATCCTTGCGGGCTTCTTGTAGCTGCTGAACACGTTCATCAACGGGGCGAAGGTCGGTCCGTTTGCCAATGGGGATGTTGAAGTGGGGAATATACCCATAGAGAACTTCGAAAGGTGAACGATCATGGGCAGAGTGGACGCGGGAGTTGATCACGAATTCAGCCATCGGTAGGTGCTTGTCCCAGTCATCCTGTCGGCGAGAGACGTTAAAGACGGAGATACTTCTCGATTTCCTGGTTGGCCCGTTTCGGTTTGTCCATTGGCTTGAGGGTGATAGGCGGTGGTGAGGTTGGACTCGATTCCGAGACGCTTGAGGAGGGTGCGCATGACCTTAGAAGCGAACTGAGGGCCTCGATCACTGATGAACCGGAGTGGGAGACCATGGAGACGGAATACTTCACGGTAGTAGATGTCTGCAACGCCTTCGGTGGTGATGTCGGATGCACAGGGGAGAGCATGAAGAACCTTGCTGTAGTGATCGGTGAAGACGATGATCGCGTCGTGTCCATGGGCTTCCGGTAACTGGGTGATGAGATCGACTCCTACTGTCTCCCAAGGCCCTTCGGGAACGTCCAAAGGCCGGGTGGCAGCCCGCGGGTGCTGGGTATGCTTTCTCCGGGCGCAGACATCGCAACCGTCGACGTACTTCTTGACGAAAGCCCGCATCGTGGGCCACCAGTACTGTCGTTCAACTCGCTCGAGGGTTCCGTGCACTCCGGGGTGTCCGGACGTGGGGTCGTCATGACACTGCTTGAGGGACATCGCGCCTGAGTTCGTCGTCCGGGGGTACGTACACACGGCCCTTGTAGTACACGAGGCCGTTGTCCTCTTCCCATTCGGGAAGTCCAGATGTGAGACGGCGAGGTCCTGACTTACGGAGCTGGGCGAGTCCGTCTAAGACCTGAGATTCACGGGCGCTGGCTCGACGCAGTCGGTCTTCGAGGGGGTTGGCAAGGACGGTGTGGGCGGCTGCGAGCTTGGCAAACAATTCTGGTTTGAGAACGACTTGTTGTTTGTTATCCTCTGCGTCTGCGACCTGATGAATGTCGAGGCGGGACAGGGGATCGGCTTGGGTGTTGGCCTTTCCGGGACGATGGGTGAGCGTGAAGTTGAAACGGGAAAGATAGAGGGACCACCGGGCCTGTCGTCGACTAAGGTCTTGTGCCGTGCGCCAGTATTCCAGGTTGGAATGATCGGTGACGATCTCGAACGGTTTGGGGAGTCCTTCCAGGAAATGTCGCCAGTCCTTGAGTGCTTCGATGATAGCCAGCATTTCTCGGTCGTAGATTTCGTAGTTGCGTTCGGCTGGTTGCATGGAGGCGGAGCGGAAGGCAACAGGATGCCAGAGTCCATCGTCGAGCTTCTGAAGGAGGGCTCCTCCAGTAGCAAAGCCAGAGGCGTCTACTTCAACGCGGGTTGGACGGTCGGGGTCCCATAGTGTCAGTATTGGAGCGGAGGTGAACGCGTTTCGGAGGGTATCGAAGGCTTGTTGTTGCGGTTCGTTCCACTGCCAAGGGATGTCCTTCTTGGTGAGATCGTTGAGAGGCCGGGCGATGGTAGCAAAGTCCCTTGATAAAACGGCGATAGAAGTTGGCGAAACCCAAAAATCCACGGACGGCGCGAAGGTTGCGGGGAACAGGCCAGTTGCGAACAGCTTCTACCTTGGCAGGGTCCATACGGACTTCTCCCTCCCTGATGACCAGACCGAGGTACTCGATCTCCTCCCGCTCAAACTCGCATTTCTCCGGACGAAAGGTAGAGGTCGTGTTTCTTGAGCCGATGGAGGACCTCGTGCACGACTTGGCGGTGTTCGTCAAGGGTGGCCGTGAAGATGAGAATGTCGTCCAAATAAACAGCGACCTTTCCTGAAGCGATGAGGTCCGAGAATATCGAGTTCATGAGGGCCTGGAACGTTGCTGGGGAATTGGTGAGGCCGAAAAACATGACCAGGGGCTCAAAGAGTCCTTGGTTGGTGGCGAACGCGGCCTTCCATTCATCTCCTTCTTTGATGCGGATGTTGTTGTAGCCCCATCGAACGTCGAACTTGGTGAAATACTTGGCACCACGGAGTCGGTTGACGATGTCAGAGACGAGGGGAAGTGGATATCGGTTCTTCACCGTGATCTCGTTGAGCTTTCGATAATCCTGGACGAAGCGGAGTTTGCCATCTTTCTTCTTAACGAAGAAGACCGGGGAGGCGAGGGGCGATTTAGACGGTCGTATGTAGCCTTTCTTGAGATTCTCCTCGAGGAATCGGTTCAGCTCCTCCTGCTCGTTCTGCGACATGGGGTAGACCTTGGTGCGCATGGTGGCCGGTGCTCCTGCGACGAGGTCGATGGCATGATCCCAAGGCTTGTGTTCGGGGAGGCGATGGGACTCGGATTCGGAGAAGACGGAGGCGTGCTGTCGGTACTGGGGAGGAACCATCTCTTCGAACGACTTCTGGGGCTTGGCCTTCTGGGACTTCTCGGCGAATCTGTTGGGAATAGGTGAAACCAGCGGCGCACCAAAGTTCGTCGCCTGTGTCTTCCATCAACCCCTTACGAACCCATCTCCGCCGGGTCATTCGGTTAGCGCGGATGCGGCAGAGAGGAGGCGCGCTTGGTTCAAAGTCGGGGTCGGGCGCCGGGAACTCGTTGATAGGGAACAGGCGGATCAGGGTCGTTGTAGATCTGTTCGATAATAGCATTGCCGGAGGGTGGTTCCTTTCGAGGGGGCTGTGCATCTTCGTCGGGGATTTCTTCGATGGTAACACTGGAGACACGAGGTGGGGGAATCTCCAAGGTGCCCTTGCGCCAATCAATCTGGGGGTTGATCTTGCGAAGCCAAGGAAGACCCAAGATGACATCCTCTCCCCCGAGATCGGCGATGAGGAAGTCCGTCCATTCGGAGTAACCGTCAACCGTGAGTTCCAAGCGAGCGAAGTGAGTGATGTGTCCAGCCTGATTTGGGGTCCCATCAATATTGAGGAGCCGAATGGGGTGTCGGAGTGGGTACATGGTGATCCGATGCTTTTCCACAAAAGGCTTGTCCAAGAATTTGCCAGTAGCGCCACAGTCGATCATTGCTGCGGGGTTCCGCCGTACGGTTTCTGCCTCTGAGTCTGATGCGAATGCGAAAATGCGAGGAACCGGGGTGTATTTCGCGCACAGAGCTAATAGTACAGGAGTAAATCGAGTCATATTCAGAAACAGCGTACGACGGTGAAAAGGGTGCATGCTTTGCAGCACGAACAAGCACCCGCTTCAAAAACCCTGTTGTTGGATCTTCTCGAGGCGCTCCAGGATGTCCTGTTGGTTCTTCTGAGCAACCAAGAGATCGGCGAGTGAAACGTTAGACGAGGTGGCAGCAGGTGGGGCAGGCGAAGTGGCAGCAATGGTGGCGGCGGGTGTGGAAGAGTCATCGAAGAGCGAGAAGGGAACCTCCTGGGTGGCAGCAACGCGACGACGTTGGGTGAGTCCTCGACCGGGCGGATAGCCCATGAACTTGTCTTGGCAGACGTTAGCGGAGTGGCCGAGACGCTGACAGTGGTTGCAACGAAGTGAGCCGTGGTTGCCGTCCTTCTTGATGTGGGCGGAGGATCCGCAACCAAAGCATCGTCCACGCATTGCTTGGAGGAAATCCTCACGGGAACGGCCACTAGGTCCAACACGGGTCGCGTCGATGTCCATCGCATAGGGGTCACGGGCAGGGGCAGAGCGAGACGAGGCAGTCGGGGTCAAGAAGGAGGCGCTGCTTCCGTGAAACGTAAAATCGTTCTGGTTGACGATGTCGCAGTAGTCTTGAAGGGTCTTGGGCTTGGCATCGTCCGGTTTGGTGATGGCGATA